CTGTCATTTTTGCATTCCAAAACAGTACAATAAGCCATTTTTCTAGGATTTTAGAAAATTTGCACGAAAGGATGACACAACCATGCCGGACAAAGTGAAAATGGCAGAGTCTTTCGAGACCTACACTTGGCACACATCAGACGCCAACTAACCACTTCTATTGTATTTATACACATGCGTCTGAGGAATACGCAAGATAAACATGAAAGCGCACTGCACTGGTGTGGACATGGCACACAGCTGACCACAAGTAATTATAGCCGCGCACCTAGTACAGGAATCCAGTGTATTTATGTTGAAATGGAAGCACAAATGTTAGTATGTAGTGTAATGTGTTAATGTAGCTTGTATTCAGAACATTTATGATTCCAAATACTGACTTTACTTTTTATTAAGTCAATAAATAAATCACTATTAAAATACTCCATTTTAATTTGTGTTCAAACTCACGTCCGTAACTCCCGGCTGTACTCTGCGGTGGAATTTGTGAATAAAAATTTAAACAGTAAAAGTGCCGTTACAAAAAATATTTCATATAATGTATTCTTTATTGTACAAAGAAAGGACATATGAATTATATAAGTAATAAGTTTTTTTTTGGGTGCGCGAAAGGAGCCTCCCACGACGTGCACTTCCTTTCCTATACGTCTGAGCCACTCTGAGCAACAATCGGTTTTGCGCCGCTTGGCAAGTCGTTTCACCATACGATACGATAACAAGATCAAGTTTTTTTATTTTTACGATTACATTGATAAAACCTTCCCCGTAATCGTTACCATTTGCCGTTAAAAAATCAAATTGTTTCATACACAAAAAAAAATATCGAGTCGAAGTTTCGACAGCATACAGTCCACCTGTTAGTAATCTTAACAGTTTGTTGAATTCTTTATTAAATTTTGTGTGTTAAATAAGTGCCAACGAGGTACATATGTGCTAATAATAATAACAATTTTTTTTTTCCGAAATGTATCTGATAGTAAACCGACCAGCGTGCCTCTACTCTAAGACCTTGGTGTCAAAGTCCACATTCCTTCTTAAAAAGCTGAATATGGTGTAACGAATTTTCGCAATATCTTAATTTTCATTTCCCAACATGTTTCTCAACGTTACCTGCATACTTTATGAACACGTTGATCGTTCTAGATTAGGTACTTATATATGACTTGTATATTTTGTTATTTTCATATACGCAGGTAATCTATACAGTCCTGCAATAGATGTACACTTACAGATTCTTTTAGTAGAAGTTGATGTGCTTTCTTTATATTAATAAAACTATTTCATTATTCTAGAAGCTCTTAATTTTTATTTGGTTTAGAATATTTTATGAATTTTTTTCAGGTAATATATTTTTTTGTGTAGTATAAAAAATAATTATACTGGAATACTACCAAATGTGCTTGTGTGTATACTCAACTAAAAAAAATATTAGAGGCCCTGTCAGTTGTTAACTTATTTGAAAATAAAGTTTTTTTTTATTATTGGATTTGATATAACAATGAATGCCTCAGTTTTTGTTTACAAAATAGATTAGTGTCTGTTATTTTTGTAAAAGTGGAACATTTTTGTAGTGTGGACCGGAAGCAAAAGTAACAGGGGGCAATTGAAACAAATAATTAATTTAATTGTGTTTTGATTATGTATATTATTACAAGTTTTTCTGGCTAAATTTCAAATCCCAAGCCATAAAAAGCATTGCCATTAAAATTAAAATTACTGTTTTTGTTTGTTTTTACGTGTTTTTAATTGTCGGTTTTATTAATAATAATATCATTAAAACAAGACTGAAATGAGATTTCTGTTAATAAAAAAAATATAATCGTGCTTTTCTATACTTTCTCTGCGTTTTATTGTTTTCAAATGGTGTTACTTTTGTACCGGGGTAGGGGGCATTAGTAACAAATCCCCCGTCTCACAAAATCTTTAAAATCTACATTTTCAAAGCAGAATAATGTTTTAAGGATACGTTAAAGCAGTTCTATAATCGAAGCGTGTGCAAAAAGTCTTACTTCCGCCTCCGATTTACCCCATATAACAACTTCGTGGTAGTTCTTTAATAGCCAACATCATTTTCAATATCGTTTTATAATTAAATTATTTATACCTAAGTGACTAAATAGAGCTTTTGATACGTTCATAAGCTGTCTATGTTCAGTTCAAAGAGTACAAGTTAGAAAAATGAAAATGATATGTTTTGATGATTTCAAACTATAGTTATGTATAACACTCTTTAACTAATTGACAAGTTGAAATACAAAAATAGAATTCATAAAGTTGTATATTTTTGATTTAAGTATTTCTTCTTAGAACATTTTGTACATTTATAGAAACTATTTTAGTTAAATAGAACGATAGTAATCGCCGATTTTTAACTTTCATTCGTTAACTAGTTAACAATATACAAAGTATAATTTAGAATTACTCAAAGAACAACATATTTAAATGGTTGACGCCATTAAACCTCATCTTTATTTATAGAAAATATTACACACCACTCCCTTCGTATTACTTCGTAATTATTAGACGGGTAATCTGAATTCGCGTAGTCAATTAGTCATACACAGTTAAGAAGTTGTGTTATTTGGCTAATTGGATGCTATTATGCAATATCGTGTCAACGAGCATGATCGTGTTCTGCTGAAATTGCATATAAACATTTATTCGTTGTTTATGACAATTTGTACTTTTGGATCCTAAAAACCTTCCACTGCTGTTCACTAGTTTTTTCACTTTATTAAACTGAGTACGAAAACCAACAAAACTCTTTGAGCTACATAATATGTATAATAATATGACGTATGTGAGCCCGGGAAAATCTTAGCGCGATTCAAGTATTTCATAAAATATTACTACCGCCTTCTAGTATTAACAAAACCAACTTTTTTGAAAATAACTGATTGTTACAAAAAGGATTCTTTTATACTCCGCCTCCGTGGCCCAACTGTTACCATGCCTGTCACGCAGAGGTCCTAGGTTCAATTCCCGGGCCGGGAGAAATATTTGTATGGCTTACATTTATATCTCTCGTGACTTTGTCGTTGTCTATGTGTGTGTCCATGGCACCCACGACACAGGGTTTCCCTAGTGCGGGGCTATGTATGTTGAGTGTGTTCTAAAATTTGCTTAAAATTTAGCTGTTGACACCTCAGTAATGATGAATTGAAGTGATATGTTCCTATAATTTCCCAACAACAACAATGACAAGCAAAAGTTTTCATGTTTTAAGTAAATTTTAGAACAAACTATCAAAAACAACGAAAAAACCTTAGGTGCCATTTTCGCAAAACTATGATCATATTGGTTTATACGTTATTGGTTATCAGCATCCAATTACCCGACTACGATGCAGTCAAAAGAGGGTAATGTTTTAGGTGGATAGGTAGTACGCTTTTTGCATATTTATTTTTATTCTACGTAATCCAGTATTTTGTTGGAAACGCGTTATTTAGAAGTGACACTATTTTTCGGACTACATCCCGTGTATATATTTTTTTTAATAAACCAACGTTTCGTGCTGTTTACAGGTTTCATGGTCAGGTTGATTGAGATGACAAAGTTATCAACCAGTCATGCAAATCTATTTCGAACTTGAGTTACAAAAGTCATTAATTTGAAGTATATTATTTTTATTTTGTGATTATGAAAATATGGTACATTGCATTAATACCCTTCTAGGTAAAGTGTCGTATGCCGAAATTGCCAAGTTTACAGGGGAGCGTTTTAAAGTTTTGCATAACACGTAACTTTATTTCTCAGTTTTATTCGGCAAAACTCACACAGAGTATTATAAAATCCTAGATATCGGTCAGACGAACCGCCACAATTTATTTTATCATTTTACAATTTAATATTGTGTTACGTGTTATACTCATTTTACTGAATTCAAAACTTTAAAACGCTCCCCTGTAAACTTGGCAATTTCGACATACGATACTTTACGTAGGAGGAGTCGAATTAGACCTATTTGATGACTTTACCATGTTAGTCAACCGCGACGGGAAGAGTCCGTAGCGTGGTATGCTTGAAGAAACAAATACACGCGATTTAAATCCGAAAAACAGTTACATTTCCTATGTATATTCTCGTTTTCCGTCCGACAAAATAACAGTCAAATAAGTAATATTCAACCAAATCAAAAAGCAATGTCAAGTATGAAGCTTCATTCGCATCATATCTCTTTTAATTTGATCGAGTATTATTTATTTGACAGGACGAATCTCGGACGCAGAACGAGAGTTCCTGTGATTGAAACAGTAGACCGGATAGCACAGTATGACCCCTTCCTTTTTACATAAGTTTTGATAATAGTGACGCTCACTACCGACCTTTAGGTCTATAGCCACAGGGACCTTCCAAGTTCAGGTCCTGACCCCGGCTCAGCCAATGTACAGGGTTGTCACAGACCGTCGTCACTGAGTCGATCCGGTTCTCGCGAGGCTAGTGCATATTTTTTCCTACTGCGAGATAAAACAACTTCAACGCCCACCACCACAAAACATAATTGAAAATGCGTATATTTGAAATTAACAAAAAAAAAAGATATATGTATATCGTCTGCTTAAAGGTGAGACCACGTGAGTGACATTTTTCACAAAAAATCTTCAAATTATGTAGGCACCAGTCGTAAGAAATTCACCATCTTTCTGCCGGTAAAACTGTTATTAACTTTATAGCTTTTTCTGTTATCGAGTTTCACGCGCAGAAAGATAGCGATTTTCTTGTCATAGCTATATAAACTAAAGACATTTTGTGGGAAACGTCACTCTTTGAACAGGCGATATAGATAATAGACTTTTTTTTTAAATGCGGTAGTACGCCTCAGCGCCCACCAAGGGGCGGTAGTACCAGTAGTGCCTCGGGTGAGCGGATAGCACGGCCCCATCGTCGTCTCGGTTGCACGGGAAGGCCACTAGCGCCCGTGAGAGAGGCAAAGACGCGCGGCGCGCCTAGCGTTCGGCCCTGAGCGGCGCGAGCGCAGCCAGCGACGCGCGGCGCCGGCGCTAGGAGGCGGGCGACGCGGGCGCGGCCGAGTGCGAGTGCGAGTGCAGCCCCGCGCTCGAGCCCCGCGCCGCCCGCGGCTCCAGCTCCAGCGACAGCGTGTACTGCCGCTCCTCGGGGATGACCAGCGCGCGGTCCAGCAGGAACTCGCACACCTGCCGCGCACACCGTTACGGCCGTCTCGACGCAGTCAACCTCGGCGGCTTGTTCAGAGCGGCGGCTAGATACCTGCACACCCTGAATAAGCCCGTGGCCGCGCGTGTGTATCGCGCTTTTGATAAGAGACAGTTCGTTTTTGAAACTAAACAACTACAAACTCCAGTTGAGTATAAAAGCTTCTTGTTTCCAACACGATGTTTGCGCGCGATACAGACGAGCTTCTGCGTCTGTATCGCATTTGAATCGATACAAACGCAACAATTTGTTTTTTTGAGTCTCTACGGCGCCATAAAAACACACATCGCACACATCCGTCGCGTCTCTCGCACAAATTTCTCGCTTTTCTCCTCGCATACCTCCGAGCTACCTCGCACATTTCTGGTGGAACCGCAACCTTTTCTCCTCTGTGACAATGGGGGTTATCACCATCGTTATAATTTATCTTTTTTAGTCTGGCTTACCTTAGGAATGTGATCAATTTTGTAAGGTGTCTGCTGGAAGTTCCTGATCTCACGAATCACATGGGCGATCTAGAAAAGACAAAAAAGTATTTCAACCACATTGCTATGCAGAAAAGATATAACGAAACCGAAAATATATAACAAAAAAATAACCATTCTCATCTTGGAAAAGTTGAGTAAACCGTCAGGAGTGTAATTAGATGTGCCTTCGTCAATAAATGACAGGTCTGATAAATACATGCCCAAGTACGGAATGCACGGAGGGTCGCACCTGTAAAAATAAAATCATCCAATGTAATTTAACCACAAGCGGCACAAGATGGAAAAGAAGAAAGAATATTTTGGTAATAATAAATAAATGCTGCAAATATTACGAACAACATTAATTATCTGAATTATATATTATATGAATTATTATAAATTATATTATAGTCTTCTGTAAACTTGTAATTCGCACCCTATGTGCAATAAAGCAATGTCTGCAAAATGGCAACTTTTCAGGAGAGAGGTTAAAAGATGTTACGAACGAAACCGACGAAAAAGTCGACAGTAGATTCGTCGAATAAACTTTTTTCAAATTGAAGCCATTTGATAAATGTATATCATATCGACCCCTCCTACGTAAAGTATCGTATGTCGAAATTGCTAAGTTTACAGGGAAGAGTTTTTAAGTTCTCCGTTTTATTCGGCAAAGCTCGTTACTCATATAGAGTGATCATCTAATAGATCATCACAAATCATCTAACCGATATCTAGGATTTTATAATACTCTATGTGAGTAACGAGAAATACTAAAGTCACGAGTTGTGCCTATTTCAGTGAATTCAGAACTTTAAAAGGCTCCCTTTAAACTTGGTAATTTCGACATACGATACTTTACGTAGGCGAGGTCGATATAGTATATTCCCTTTAGTTCAGTTCATATAAAATAAAAATCTTTGGTATATGTAAAGTACTTACTACTTACTTACTTACTTACTGAATACAGCGGTTTTCTTGTATAATTTCGAGGTAAGTTTGTGTTTTTTTTCTATCATGAAAATTTTTAGGAACCGTGTTTGTATAGAATTCAGTGCATATCCTCAATTTTATTATATCGCACCCTTAGTAATATAAGGGCACAATCCAAAAAAAGTAGATTTTTGGGAAATCGCGTATAGATTCTAGATTCCAACATTACACCTATTTTTTCAAATAACATGCTTATTATTTAAGTTATAAATATGAAATTTGGCAGATTTGTTCTTTGATAAATGTATTATAAATAGCAATAAAAAAAATAATATAAATAAATTCCGTAAGTTTCAAGCAAGTTAAAAAAACACTTTCAAGTTAGACCCATATAGTACAAAAAATATAACAGAAATATGGAGCTATATAAGTTTGATCCCATTTATTATTTAAGTCCCTATCAATTCCCAAATTTCCCAAAAATCTACTTTTTTGGATTGTGCCCTTATATTACTAAGGGTGCGATATATTCTCCCACAGTGATTGATTTCAAACTTTCACTGTTCCCTACAAGGCTTCACCCGAACTTATGGTGATCAAATCACAACACAACACTGACCCTGACCTGTGCAACGCATCTCGCAGGATTCTAAACCTGCATTCTGAAGATATTAGTGTTTGCATCCTCTCAATTGTTTGTTTGCTCTGAAAATTTTAAAAGAAAACTATCAATACTTGACCATTACTTGATATTTCGATACCTCCAAAGAACACTACGCCATCTTAATTTTTGGACCTGCGTCCTGATTTTTCGGAATCGGAATTGATCCGACCGGGTAGTCTCGATATCAGATGGGTTTCTGAGCGAGAAGACGAACCTGATTCCTACAACTCCAATTCTCTCTAATTTGTGGGTTAAATTAACTATTGTTCCGATTAGAAATGTCAAAAGTTTCCTACCGGCCAGTTGTGAATCGTAATTATACGCCTCGTATCGGAAAAGACGCAGTTTCCGATAGGAAGAAGCAATCAAAATCAAGCTGCTGGTCTGTTTTTAAACTTTTTAATTTGTTTTTAGTTACCTTTTTTTCACAAAATTCTTTTTTTTTTTGTTTCTTTATTTCTTTTTCACCACATTCGGGGAGCATAATATTAGTAAATAAATTTAGCTGTTTACAAAAATAACGGAAAATTGCCAAAAAATAAAATGAGTGCAGTGCTTTCATTGGAGGTATCGATTTGAATACTAAATTTTCTGTAGGACCTACCGTTTTGGAGACTTTCTCCCAAGTCTTCTTGAGGCGGTAAACGGAAGTATTTGAGAGCGCAGCGCACACTTGCAGCACGCCATTGAAATTGTGGAGACACCGGGCTATGTCCGCTACTGCCGCCCATTTCTCTATAGCTTGCACTCGCCCTACAGGGTACAAAAGTACCTACTTAATCACGAATCTTTTAAATGCGTTTTTCGTTTGCATAAGAGCGTCAAGGTTTTATGCAATCTCTTAGCCACTAGATGGCGTTAGTGGCGCGAAATAATAGTTACTTTTAAAGTTACGCTTTTATAATATACGCGATTGAAGGAGTTTATAATACACTCATCTAAAATTCATAAAAATGTCACTTTCAACATCACATGATTATAATTTGATGTTTGACTGATATTTCCTTGTGGCCACACCGGTGGTACATCGCTGCGCCATAAACCAAAACTTTTGTCAGGGGCGCCTAGTTTATGTGTGTACTAGTTTTTGTATTTAAAAATATAGTTCTTTTCCCCAAAAAGCTTTTTCTTAACTTTCTTAGATAATATCAAACTCTTAAACTATTTATTACGAAATTTTGACTACCTATTTCCCAGAGCGGGAACTTTAACTTTAGCACTTTCTTTCAAGGTGGTGTAAATTACGTTCTTTTTCTATGATAACAAGAGTGATGGGACGAACAAGCCCGTGCGCCTGTTGGTAAGCGACACGCCTGTCCGCAATAGTTGCAGTGCCGCTTAATGCTTTAAATCGCAAAAATAAGAGGGGCACTGCCACTGCGCCCGTCACCCTGAGACATAAGTTGACAAGTCCCATGTGCCTGTAATTTCACCACAATCAAAAAATGTGCTTTTTGAATGTTTCTTTCATTATCAAATCAAGGCCACTTTTCGATATTCCGATTTGACATACCTGTCATGGTATACTTCTTCAAAATCTCTGATATGACGAGGTTTGAGATGTGATTGAAGTGAGCGGTCATCATCAAGATGTGCGGAGCTCTCTCCGCCTTATCTGCTTTTGTCCACGCTTGCCCCAAGAACTCCCTGTAGGACAGAATAAGTAAGTTAATTAATTTGCTACTCTGCTACGCTTTCCGCTACTACTTCATTAACTTCCATTTTAATTAACATAGACTTCCGTAAAGTAACGCCTGAATCTGTTAATTTAGTACACAAATACATAAGTAATGCATACTTACTATTATTGATAAAGAGGTCAACTAAACACAAAGAAAAATTCCTTAAATCCGACTGGATTCGAACCAACATCCGTTACCTCAACATGGCTACCGTTCTTATCGACTCAGCAGATTTTACGAATTTCGCTATGTGCCTGTTGAGGTTCTTTGTGTTGGATTTAAACGGCTTTTAACCGGAGCGCTATCTACGAGAACTTATGAAAATTTCTTCATTCAACCAGCCACCTTTATAGTTACCAGACTAACAGAGATGTCGCTATATTAATTGCAATATTATGATTAAGGAGACAAAAATAGAATACACAGAAAATTTCATCAACCCGGTGGGACTTGAACCCACGACCGTGCTGCACCGTAGCATTGCTCTAATCATCTAAGCTATCGGCTGCGGTGAGATTATTCAAAAATATCTCACTAAGTATCACTAACGGCGACGAATGCCGAACGCTAGTACAAAGATCTATAACAAAAACACGTAGGAGAATTTCGACAATTCGGTAACTGGACCCGTGGCTCAGATGGTCAGTCCCACCGGGTCGACGAAATTTTTCTATGTGTTCAATCTCTGTATCCACAATTATAACAAAAATAGTGTAGTTACTTCACAAAAAATCTCATTAAATATTGCAATATTGTTATTGAATACCATGATGTTTTACTATCATGATATTCATATATTATTATACATCCCCAATATAGGTAATTATTTCCGTTCTAAAACACTCAGACGCAATCGTTTCGGGTACCTTCCTGGACGAACTCATTTACCAGGAACTCTACTGTTAATTCTTTGAAGTTTAACTAAATATACTTTACCTCTTAGAATAATAACGCATAGAATGATAGTTTCATATCTGTCACAAGTGTGGCAAAAATCAAATTCATGTAGGCTAGTTTTAGTATTAGGTTAATTTTCGGTTTTAGTGAATATTTATATAAAAATACAAGTTGAAACGCGTTACTTCCTTGTGGAATGTGATGTTAGCATCTATTTTATGTTTGTCTGGCGTATTTTTACACTCATTTACCGCACATTTCGTCAATTTTAGCTAAAATTCTTGAGCTGTTCGCGGTGCGAGTTGACCTTGAGCACTGAAGGCCCGCCCGCTCGTGTAGGCCCTTTGGGAGCGCTTCAATTTGCCTCACTTAGCGTGTGCGGGCTAGGTTTCTATGCGTTATTATTCTAAGCTTTACCTATTCCTATCTCTGCTAATAACACATAGTCAATGGTCGAGTACTGAATTTACTTATGTGACTTATTGGGTGATATTTCGTTTATTGCACCTACTCGTTCTATGAGACATTATCACCCTACTGCAGTTCCCTTAGCGAGGACTAACTATAGACAAAATATTTTCTATGTAGAGCTAGCAAGAGATTGGATAGTGTGCTGAGCAATCATGACCTGGAAGTTGATATATTCAATTGCAATGTTGATGCGCTAAAGCGTAAACTCACGGACATTCTATTTACCTAAGTTTATTAAACAATTTGTGATTAGTGCAGGTATTGGGTTGTTTTAATTTATGTAAGTGCATGTTGTTAAGAAATACTATTTATTGTTCTTTTGTTTAATGCTCGTGTATGATTTGTCGGAAGCTATAAATCGAAACCTGTAATTGGCTTTATGTGTATGTTCCAGTTTTTGTTAAGAGGGAGCATGCTAAAAAAGTTTTGACGTTGGCTCCACCCACATTTGTGAGACAAATATATGCCTGAAGTTCGCGTGACATGCGACAGGAGATGTTAAATTTTGCGCATTAAAAGTACCACATTCGTTTTAGCGGAATAACTCTAAAACTAAAGGGATTAAAAAAAAACCGTAGTGACAGTTCTCGATCTTGCATAAATATAATTAATTATCTAATTTTTGTCCTAATAACCTGTAACATTTCGAGGATGAATCGAAAAAATGTGAAAATTAGAGGTCATTTCGTGATTTTTATTTATCGAGGAAACTTTATTGCTTTATGTTTCTGATTAGTGTCTATGCTTGAATATATCGTGTAGTTACTCATACAATATTTTATTTTTAACTTTAAAGTGGATATACCCCTCTAAAATCAAATCGAAGATTAGGAATTATTCCTCTGCTCCCTCTTAAATGTAAAAAGCTGTTAGTTTTCCATTAATGAATAATAAATAAATGTGAGTTTTGGGGATATTAAGATCAAATATTGTGGGAATACTTACTCGCTGTGTATTGCGCTGAAGATCTGGTAATCCAAATACGTCATTTGCTCGGCAATTTCCAGAGCAGACAAGGTCTCAATACTCTCTTTAGTTGGCACCTATAAAAATATACACGATGGTTTTTTTCTATACAAAAAAATAAGTGTGCATTTCACATT